TCTCTCTCTCTCTCTCTCTCTCTCTCTCTCTCTCTCTCTCTCTCTCGTGTCTCCGGGATTCCCCCCCCGGCTGCTGATGTGTGCAGTGATGTCCCTCGTGCCTGTCTTTGCTCCCCCAGTCTGCGCAACAGAGAACGAGCTTGCGCCCGTGGATCAATAGGCGGCAAATGTGCCACTGGGGTGCAATGACCTTCCGGGCCAGGTCCAGTCCTCATCCTCACGCGACGACCTCCGCCGTCATCTCTGTCTGCCGTCCGGATCCTCGGGACGTAATCGGAGTCATCAGGATCGTCGGCGTCTGTGGTCTCACCGCCCTCAGCGGTTGTGGAGCTGTCGTCGTGGATGATGATCGTGCCGCCTCGTCTCTTCTTACCTCGACCTGATTCGTCTACTCTGTCACCTCCCTCCGCCCCCCCTGTCCATCTGCAGCAGCTGGCATCTGTCTGGTCTCGTCCCTGTTGCGGAAAAAAGGATGCGGGCGACGCCGGTGATATGGAACCGACACACCTGTTCCCTTCTTCCTCGCCCGTGACAGCCTCACAGTTGCCGTCCTGGTGTCGTTGACATCGGTCATCTTGGCCCGTATAGGCCTCCCATGCTGCTCCTCGTAAGCTCTCATGGAATCGTGACAAGTGCCATCGACGTTGTCGATCGATCGCGCCTCCGCGGGCACATCTGCCGGTCCGCATGCTGATGTTTGTCCGATATCGCCCGCCCTCCGGTCCATGCCCGCACCGTCCTAGAAAGACCTCGTAGGCAATGTGCTCTGCGCGGCCTGCCCGTGGGCGGCGGGATCAGCGGCAGGGGGGCGTAAGGGTGGTGGACGCATGATGTCACGTTGTCGAGCGCATCGGCCCTCGCGTGAACGAGGGCCCTCCCGGCTATGTCACACAAGAGTTAGAGCAAAACAAAATCAAGAGACAACTTAGGACGATGCATAAATAATCCTGCGAACTGCCAAGACGGACGCAGTTGCATCGTCCCTTCGCCGCTTCAGCCGGGTGCGCCAGCTATACATCTCGCGGTCCCCTACGATAGGATAGGTTTTCGCGGGGCACAACTTACTTTCCCTGAGGGGTTGTCACCACCCTCAGGGGCGTATCCCTACCGAGCTACCGACCCACGTGCGAAAGTTTTTACATGCAATTGCAGAGGTAGGTCAGTCGAGGGCGTTTGCTCGCTCACAGGAGTATAGGTACGCTTGGTTAATGCCAAGTGGACTCGAACGTTGTCCGTTCCCGGGGGCGTTGATCTCCTCGGTACGAACGAGCGTCGGTCAACTAGGACGGCCTCAACCAAACGTGAAACCCAACATATAATCCTAGTCCCTTTATGATCCCCTCCTCATAAAATGAATAAAGTACATAAATAACATTTCGACTTGATGAGATGACCTGCCAAGGTTATCCTTTCCTGCCTACATGACCGACGAGGCAGTTGTACTGACGTCCGAAGACGGGAGATCCGTCGCGCACAGCTTTTACAAATAAATACTGCTGGTACCATGCAGATCAACAAGTGATGTGGCTCCTGGTCGATGTTTGAATTTCCGGTTTGACCATATTGTCTTACTGCATACATCTATTCGGAGGAGCGACTGACAATTCTGTCGGTTGATTTGTCCTCCTAGGCAATAATTACTCTCTCTGTTCCACGAATGACGAAGTACCCATCCCCGACACCAGATACTTGGCATGAAGATGTTTCATCTCCTGATACTTCGCCCTCGCCCTTTTGCTCAATACCTTATCAGGTGTTCCGTTTTCATTTTGCTCGGCTCATTCTTCAGCGATCGATTACCCCTCAATGCATAAGCATGATCGTACCATCATCGGGGTAATCCAGATACTATCCATCTGGTTGGCCTACCTACACAAGATTGTTGTGTTTTTTTTTTGTTATTATTACCCCTGTAGAGTCACATGGACGTGACCCTACTATAAGGACAACTCACCATGGCACCTGATTCGAGAGGGTGCGCTTAGCCGGGATAAACCTGTCGGCCCTCACGGGCCTCAGCCTCTATCCAGTCGAGCCGCGTAAGCTCCTCGTCGTCAAACGTCAAGGTGGAGACGCGTCCACCTCGCGAGACTCGAACCTTCCGCGTATCATAGAGAGAAGCCATCCGTGAGGCGAGCTTCCAGACTATGGCGCGGAACGGCTGACGCATCCGAAACAGGTGTGTGGTTGTGGTGTCCTTAGTCCGGACGACGCTATAACGCTCCCCGGATAAAGTAATTTTGACGCTCATAATGACCCGAGAAAGGCATTGGAGGTCGCTTGCGCGATGGAATTACAAGGTGTATCCATGAACTTCGTACGGAAGTCGGGCCACATTGGCGCGAACATCCGCGCGCGAGTTGGGAAAGAATCCCTGCTAATCACTGAGCAGGCCGATAAAACCAATCCCCCGCGTGGGCGCTCCATCCCGAACCAGTAATAATCGCTCCACTCGCCGGATCAGCTCCCCGTCCGTAGTGTCGCAAATCAGTAGATACCTGGCCTGAGTGAGGTCTCGCCGTCCGCTAGGCATCTGCACACCGAAGAAGCCACCTGTTAGAAGAGGCGCTCGTAAATTTCACAAGCCTCGTCATAAAACGTGGTGACGTCGAAACGTTCCGAGCGAATGATATTAAATCTATTCGCTCGGACCCGTCTCGCGTGATGAAGGAGGCCGAATGGACCTTGCAAATCGTTCAAATGGAGTACAATATGGAGGAACATCCCCCTAACCTCAGGAATATTCTCTACTCCCGGACAGCCCTCGTGAACCACAACTAGGTTCATGTCTCCGTAATCTCGTGATGAATTAGGAGGCGCAAAATCATATCGCACCATACGCTGGCCTGGTTCAACCAAGAAAATATAACTCCGCGGTGGTTTTCTCACGCTCCCGTCCCAGAATCGTGGCCCATCCTGTTTCGAGTAAACCTCAAGTGGGTTGTATACCAACCTTCCTTTCCGTATCACGCCGGCGCGGGATCGTGTCGGCACCGCTAACCAATTAGTCGCCGCCTCGCGTGTGCTGAACAATCGAAAAATCACTGTCTCCGCAAGCATCTGAACGACGAAGCGGTAACTCTTGTCAAAATAATTCAGACATACCCACTTTCATGTTCAATCTTCACTCCCCTTTTCGGGCCGTGATTCTTGTGTCACGGTCCGATCGCGAGAGTAGTGCCTATTTGCACTCCCGTTAACATTAGTTGAATCACGGGCTGGGCTTCTTGTGGCGCCAACCCTCCCACACGTTGGTGGCGCCTAAAATGGTCACCCAACAGGATGCTAGGTTCAGCATCCCCTTTTCCTGAAAGCACGAGGAGGCGACTGCCCCTAGCTTCAAGACACCCTACCCTCTAGGAAGTGGTTTGGAATACCCCTCCCCCTCGCCCGAACACATTGTTCAGGACTCAGAAGTTGGGCTGGCTCCACCGCAACAGCAGGGTATCCCCCCGCCAAAGCGGTCCGCTCCGAGTCGATGACAGGGCCGACCGCTAAGGCAATGAACCCCCGCCTCAGATACCTCCTAGAGAGGAGAAGCCTAGACCCTAGGTGCAGACGACCGCTCTATGCCTTCCCGACTAAGGGTCGACTTAGACGAATCGAGAAGAGAAAGAAGTAAGATATTTTGGACGGGCATAGAAGGATAGTGGTCGTTCGGGGTAGAATGGCGAAATCCTTGGGGAGATACTAAGGTGTTCCCTTGTCTTCTTTTCTTTTAATTTTCCACGGCCCTCATTCTTTCGACGCCCGTCCGTTCGCACATCCATTATTATTTTTGTTTCTCCTCTTTTCTGTCACAGACATTCAGATTGAGTGGGAAAAAGGTGAGCATCCCCATTATTCTCCCGAGCAAACAATGCTGATTCCTCCTCACATGCACCCTCCAACCTACCTGCACAATCAGGAAAAGAAACAATCAAGAGATTCATCCATCCCCAAAACAAGTCAGCCCTTTCTTCACACGCATGACATCACACTCTTACTCTACCTCTTTCCCTGAATTCAAAGCAAGGTCATGCAAGGTGTGGGTTCACGCGGGTGTGCAAAGGAACTGAGTCGTACAGACCTTTAGTGAATTTTTCGGAGGCCCACTCAAGAAAGCCAAATATCTTCACAAAAATTCGATCGCACCACTCTCGTTGTGGCTGCTCACAAGGACGAGTCACACCCTCCTTCAAACGCCGCCACTGACTCAGGCGCTGCTCACCAACACAGAAGCGAGCTCGCCATTGAGGAGAGTGCCCCACTCTCAAATCCCACAGCCTCAACCTCACACCTTCCACTAAAACAGCGCCGATTCAACTCACCAAAATACCAAGTCAGGTCACCACCTGCCTGCCGCAATACTTGGTGGTTTCGAACCCAATCCCCGCTTACTCGGTATGCCGCAAAAAAATAACAACGACCTTGACAATTCTTACAAGTGTCGCGTGCCGTAATGCCTTCAACGAGACGATCGCCACACCCATTCTATTTCAAAGTGCACTTCCCCCTTGGTGGTACCGTCACTGCGGCAACGTCCAATCCCCCTTCTCGCAGTCCTGTGCAAAATATTATTGCCACAAAATCCGGCGGCGCCCTCGCCGTACCGCCAAGAAAATCAGTGCCGCCGCCGCAAGAATTCGGCAGCGCTTCCGCCATACCACCAAGAAAACCAGCGCTGCCGCCGCACAAGTTTGGCAGCGCTTCCGCTGTTCCGCCAAGAATACCAGCGCTGCCGCCGCACAATTTCGGCAGCGCTTTCACTGTTCCGCCAAGAAAACAGGTGCTTCTGCCGCAAAAATTCGGCAGCGCTTCCGCCGCACCTCCCTAGAAAACCAGCAGCAACCTCAAGGCCACGGCTTCCCCACAGCCTGCAGCACAACACAGAAGGTGGGGCAAGAAGCTCCCAGCCTCTAGCTATGGCTGCCTCCTCCTTCCTCCAAGTGCTACTGCAGACCTCCAGCACTTCGCCTCATCACACCAGCAGCCAGCCAGCTAGCATCTACTCAAGTAGAATGCCCCAGCAGCATTGCCACAAGTGTGAGGCTGCTGGGTGGCAGGCTAACTTTTATAGCTGGCTGAAGGCTGAGGGCAGCTACTTTGCCCCCAGCCAAATCTCGGAATAGAGCCTGGCCCTCGATCAAACTCGAGATCAACGGCCAGGGAACTTGATGTTCCCCTAGGGGAACCAAGTTCTGAATCCTGGTAATGCATCTGGCCTTCACCCGCGGCCAGACGCAACCCAGAAATGGTTGTACTCAGCCATTTTCAAGCAGACTGTTGAACCCAACAGTCTGTTGTCTATCCATAGTCCAGATGCTTCTAAACTTGCATCTGGACCGAGGCCGCAGCTAGTTCCACGACCGTTTCTGCCCCCTTTTTTTTTTCCCAACTTCTCCCCCTTTTTCTTTCTTTTTCTTTTTTTTTCTCATTTTTTTTTTTCTCTAAGGCAAGGGCAGCTCGTCGTCTGAGAAACGAACGAGCACTTCCCCCCCCCCAAGTCATTTCACAGAGTCGAACTAGAGTCAAACTCAACAGGGTCTTATTTCCACCCTTTGCCTCGTGCCCGTACCCGGACGCTTTCAGCGCCAGGTTCGGGCGCGCAGGAAAACGCTGCAGCCCGTTCTTAACCTCAACGGGCGCAGGTAAGTTGGCCCTCTCTCTCTCTCTCTCTCTCTCTATCTATCTATCTATCTCTATCTATCTATCTATCTATCTATCTATCTATCTATCTATCTATCTATCTATCTATCTATCTGAATTTGGCCGCCTAGGGCGGCACATTCGCCGCCTATGGGCAGACTTTTAGGGTTCAACCCCCTGATGAGTCGGTGAAGGTCCGATGAAACAGTCTAGCGCAGTGGCCTTTGCCCGTTCGTCCGAAACGAACGGGCGTACTCACTCAAACAGAAGATAAAAAAAAAGAATCCAAATAAAATCTAACAAAAATCTAACAAAAAAAAATCTAAACAAAATCTAACAAGAAAGAAAAGAAAATTCCCTAAAAAAAAACGGTCGCCCGTTTCTTCGGGCGCCTGCACGGTTCGTGGGGACACTAGGTCCCCTTCACTCCTCACAGTGCCACATGGCGCTTCAGTTATATATATATATATATATATATATTTTCTTTCCCCCCCTTTTTTTTTCTCTCTTCTTCTACCGTTGGCTTAAGCCAACGGTCGCGTTGTTTCGTTCGTATGGCCCCTACCGACAAAAACAAACAAGGAAAGGAACCAAAAAAAGAAAAAAAGAAGCTCCTTACCTCGACGTTGCTGTTCTCTCCATCGCGCCCGTACCTGGTTGCTTATGCGTCCAGCTACGGGATAGGTAAGTTTTTTTTTGTTTTTTTTGTTTTTTGTTTTTTTTTTTTCAAAAAAAGAAAAACTTCGGACCATTTCTCGGCCTATGCGTGTCATCCTTTCAGGGGCCTTTTCACCCTGGCGCGGCTGATTTCAGCCACGCGATCTCGAAGATCGCACGGCCGGATATCGGCCGCACCCTTTGCCAAATTACGGGCTGCTCCAAAAGGAGCTAGCCCGGTAGTACGTTAGTCAGGTTCGATCCCCATGTTTGCGGGGTGGCAATCTGGCGACGGTACCTACTGGGCTAGCTCCTTTTCACATCAGAAAAGGAGCGGCCTTTCTATATGAAGGGCTCGTGGTGCCCAGCAGGCCCCTTCCTAGCGCCTAGCAGGCTACGCCTGCTAAGCCAGCTTGCTGCCATGACTGGCGGGCGGGGTCGGCGGCCGACAGCTTTAGCAGCTGCCCTACTCAGCCGGCCTCGACGCCTTCGCCCCCGGGTCCTCGACGCAAATGCCGTATGGACCCTAAGTCATCCCTTCACGCCACGGTCCATCTTGTCGCGGTGGGCCCTTTTTGGCCCGCTTAGGCCCTGAATCGCGTGGCTTAACAGCCGCGCGACCTCATCATAGGTAGCCTAGGCTTTAACTTTAGTTTTCCCATGACCGCACACTACTGCGGCCTTGTCGAACCCGCGGATGACAGTACCGACCCCCGTTATCCCGTACGGACGTCGATGCCGTCCTGCGTCGACGACGACAGGTTCAAGAAAGTTTAAGTCTCTCAGTCATAGCGCTGGTCTGAATAAACCTTGGCAACGTCAATCTCATCAAGTTTTCCAATTAAGTGAAAAGGTCAGACAGCGTCCGGCGTTGAAAAACACGGGCAGATACCCTTGTCAGGGTTTCTGCCCCGACAACGCATCCCCGTCAGATGCGGTCGAGGCTCATCTGTGTGCCCGTCTCCAACGTCATGTGTGCTGGGCCTAACAATGCTGGGGTGTGTGGTCGATGACCCTCTGCGCTCGATGCCCCCCCTGAAGGACCGTCCACCATCTGCGCTCCCTGGCTGCCCCGTATCCTGGCTCATGCCCTCGCCTCCGTCCGAGCGGATAACTCCGGGAGGCCTCGCCTCTAAAGTCTCCGCTGGGCCTCGATGTGGCTCTCGTTGCGGGCCCTCGTCTGGTGGATGGACTGATGACACGCAGTCCGATAACAACTGCGAACCATGACCCCCCTGCGCCAAAACATCTCCAGACGCTGCCTCCAGTAAACCTTCCAGACTACGTTGCGCTGCGACGTGCGGTCCGCCACGACGGTTCCCTGCCACTCCCTTCGCCATCCCCTGCTCCATCGCCCACGGTACACCGACATGAAAAATGGCGGGAGTGCCGGACTCTGGAGGATGCAGTATTGTGTCGCCGCCGAACTCGTCGAACCCTCTGTCACGACGCGTGTCATCTCATCCTCTGACACGACAATCAGGTCCTGCAGCATGTCACGTGCCCCCGTGTCGATCGCAATGTGGACACGATGTCTGCGTACACGAGATGCAATACTGTCATCCCGCCTGCCCCCGTGTCTCAACCACTTCAAAACGAAGCGACCACCGGGCATAACATCGCCGTCCACACGCTTGTCAACCCTGTCGCCACG